TCAACGGTAATTATTTTTTAACGCCAAATTAGATGGACAAAATTGCACTTTATTATACATTACTATTAATTAAGTTATATGAACTTATTTAACTTATTGTGCTGTATTTTTGTTAAGTAAAATTATTATAAAAAAAACTTTCAAAGGCTCGTGCCTCACCTAGAGAATGTTTAAGGCACACCGGTTCAAAACCACTTGTCTATAGCCTATTATATAGGTAACATGTTATAAGTATAACAAAATATAGTAATGTTGACTAAAATTCGACTCCACTTATGACGGACTGACGAAATATTCGAAGCAACGCAAAATATTTTATACAAGTATTAAGTATACCTATATTTATAATAAGGGCACAGTTAATCTACATTTTATTTTTATCTACGTATACGAATTGTTAATACATACAACACGCAATAAACCTAAACATAATAGGTACCTATTTTGGCATTATTAATAATGAAAAAATTGATTTGATACCTATCATTAAATGTAAATAATAATACTTTTATTTTTAATTTATAGGCAGTATACCTAATGCAGTAGTATTGTTCTGTGGTAATACCCAATACAGACTTTTTTCAAGTTGGTCATATAGTAAATTATATTATATTTATTGTTTTATAATGTCGAACGTTTGCTAAGATAAGCACGATACCTATTATACAATATTATATTCATTAATAATTCAAGGTTACTTGAACCTTTGGTTACTATTTACCCTAATCATAGGACATAACTATTTATTTCTACTTTAAGTTTTCGGATAGTTATAACTTATAACTTATAAGCCATTAGGGCATGATAATATTCCTTGAAAATAATATGCAATACAAATATTTATAATATAACCCTTTTGTATAATTAATTATCTTATATATACTTGTATATATAATTCAATTACAATATATTTTATAAACAATTGCAATGGCGCAATATCTATTCCTAACTAGGAAAAATTTTAAAACTCGTTTGAAACCGAGTAGTATATAATAATAATATATGTGTATTTTGTTTATTGTTGTTGCACTTCAATTTGCAGCTCAGTGCTTAGAGTAATAAAAAAGCTAAACACTACACTACAGAGTACAGACTATACACAGTTGGTATATCTAAGGCCACGGAGACAGAATACCTATAAATATATTATTATAGTTTATATAGATTGCCGCTAATGCTTGAACTTGTTCCAACCTTCAAGTCTCCATCATCACAGCAGATGTTCGTGTTGCTGGTATCCAGAAACAACCACCGCGGATATTTACTATAACACTCGCTTAGTCGCTTAATCATACAAGAAAAAAATAATCTCAAAATAATAATATGTGTACCTAATTAAATCACGAAAGTTGAAAAACTATAGGTATACACATTACAATAATATTATATAAGTAGGTACCTATATAATATAGTACACAATAGTGTTCATGACTATTATCATTGATTATACATATTAAATATGTATAATCAATGCTATTATTGACTTCTATAAAAAAATAAAATACACTCGACTCCACACATAAAAAACATGTGTGCTAACACACTCACATGCAATGCTTTAATTATAGGTACCATAATGTACTTACCTATTGTATGGATGGCCATAGGTAGTAGACAGTAGGTACTATAATACCCAATAACCGACACCACGGGCACATTATTTAACATATTTCATATTTTCATAACCGCTAATTGATAATTTATTATTGTGCAGAACATGCGCCGATTTCCGAACCGCGAGCCACGCGCCGTGAGATCCCGTGTGGCTTTATGACGGTCGTTGTAATTATCATTCATTTATTAAAATTTATGATCTATTTTCTGTACCCACATTAATAATGGTTGAGAATGTATAGGAAATATTAAATTTAATGACTAAATAGGCACATGTAATATAGAACCATAAAATGTATTGTTTGTATTCAGTAAAAGCTAAAAATCATATTTTTTTTCGGGCTTTCACAAAATAGATTGTGAAGATCCTTATATTATTAGGCTTGCCATTCGCCCCGGTTAATGGAAGCCAAGCGAAAATAACTTTAATATTGTATTATTTAAAACATATAAAGAATAATATAGCTGTATTAAAAACAATCTATTCAACAGAAAAATATCAAAATTAGCTTATATGTTATATAACTAATAAATATAAAATGCAAATGAAATAAATGTAGTTTATGTAAAAAAATTGTATAGGTTTATTGATTTTAAATAAAAATATTTATTATTTCCATACATACATATAATTTTACAAACTATACTAAAAAAAGGTCATTTAATATCATGGATGTTCTGGTTTGGTGATTTTAAAATCTGGCAACCCTACTTATAATATAGGATATAGGTACAAATTGTATTTGTTAAAACTGATTGGTACATAGCAAATAAAAAATTCCACTGTAAAAAATATATAATTCTATATTATATAATTATTAGAACAATTAATTATAGTTGTTTAAATTTTTTGTACAGATGAAATTTATTTAAAAAACTGAATAAAATAATACCTTCTTAAGACGCAATACGTAATAGCAGCTAACAAATGATTTTGTACTAAATTATACCGTTGCCCCTAGTAGGCCTTTTTCACGGCAGTTGTTTATCCAGTTTTTATTAAAATATACATCATAATAAATTATATCGATTGTTTTAGTATTTGTAATATAGATAAGTACAAATAATTAAATTGTTCAATAAATTATACGCTAGTTTAAACTCTAAAATGTTCAATAATTACTATAGACAATTATATTTTTTTGTATAATACCTATTCCAACTTATCAATGTATTGATATGAATTGATGAAGTTGTATTCATATTTATTTTAAAATAGACAACTTTAGCAATATTTTATTCTAATCTTAATAAGTTTGATATCAAAAACAAACGTATCAATGAATTCTCAAGAGTCAAGGTGAAAAAGTCCTATGGACGGTATATCTTAAATCGTGCCCTATAGGTTGTATATAAGTTGCTAAGTAAAAGTCTGAATACAATTCTGATTGGCAGCTTTTATAATGAGTTCAAACAGTAAATCCTAGCATTAACAAGTAAGACCTTTCGATCCTAGTGATAAAGCTTTTACGTTCATAATATGAAAAGGTATATCATTTGCATTAATAATAGAAGCAATAAGAATTTTAAATTATATACAAATTAGTAATTACCCATTAAATAAACATTTATTTATTATACTTAAAAAAATTATGTACCTACTTACCTGTAAGTATTTCACTATTTTGATAGGTGCTTTGTAATTATACAACAATGCTGTACCTAATTTTTCAAACCTATTTACACAACCCTGATTTAATCTTTAGGTACCTAATAATAATATCATATCTGCAAAGCAGTATTTGTTTATAATGGTGCCTTGGCAAATCAATGTTAACTCCCATAATAAAAATGGACTTGCATAATCTTATTTAACTCTGTTTTTAATTAGAATTTTGAATTTGCAAATAGGCAAAACATCATATTTTTTTAAAACATTTTTTCGTTTTCTTTATTTTTGTTCTCCGAAAAGTTTTTTTTAGTCTAGGTAGGTACTTAAAATATTCAATATAACATAAAAAAATTAAACATTTTATGGTTATAACTTATTTGTTAAATATAATAATATTATACACATTTTATTATAGTTATTCTTATTTGGGCAATTGAACCATTTTTAAAAAATATGATTACTATTTACTACGTATAATAATATTTAAGAGGCTTTTTCTTAAATAATAATAATAATATTATTATTTTACATATTAGTTTAATATGCAATTATGGGTGTTTAATAAGTTTATATATTATAAATGTATTTTATATTTTATATTCGTATGTAAAGCGTGATAAGACATTTTTGAATAGGTACACGGGTTTTTTACTTTTAAATTTTTCCTTCACACAATAAAATATAAATACACTTCAGTACATGAGTCTTGAGTTTTAGAAGTAATGAGTAGGCTATTATATATTTTATTTAACGCTATTTAATTATGAAATTTACACTTCTGTTATAATTGCGCATTTGCACCCTGTAAAGCACACTCTTGTCATGCCATGATTACAGACGTACGAACCATACGGCCCTGTATACATAAACGAACTATAAGAAAACAAATAATACATTTTTATGGTCCAAGTGACCCTGTTTCTACTATATAAAATGTTATTTGAAGAAATAAACATAAAAACTCATGTATAGGTAGTAAAATTAATAAAGTGATAACATTTCTGAATTATTTCTCTTTAAGTATGTTTCACATCGCTAGTCTCAATTTTTTTAATTTTATATTTTGAGTTTAAGACACAAAGTTGGACTTGATTACAATTTCCAATATTTAAGTTTTTAATTATTATTTATGTACATTGTACAATATATTAAATAGGTATATGACTAAAAAGAGTGGAAGAGTTGCTATTGTAAATTAAAATTCAAAAGTCCTCCACAATTCAAGCACGGAAACGGAATGGGTCAACCACTGTACTATATAATTCAGTGGGGTCAATCGACTAAAAAGACGTGTCCGGATCATACTTGAGTAAGTACGTAGTTCAGAAGTTGAATCTCGATTGTAATGTATATTAGGGAATCCGGATAGAAGCCCGGACGGTCACGGCAGCGCAATCTGCAGCCGTGGTTGTCGTCTTCAGCGGTACAACGGAAAGAACCGCCCGGGCTCATTTATATGGCCAGATGGCGTCGCCATGTGCGAATGTACAATTAAAACATTGATTGTTCTGTTCACGATGTAAATAAAATGTTTTATAAAATGGTTTCATGAACATCAGAGAATTTTGAATGTTGTCTTATATTTCTCTATTATGTTGACATTCGCATGTTCGATTTATTCATAGACCTAAGTAATATTTATTTAGTACAAGGTCTATGGATTAATTCATCTCGAGTCTGGGCTTTATCACTTACTTGGTCACACTGTTTCTGATAACAGAAATTGTTTACCAATATTTAACATCAACATAAACATATTACATAGCGACACGATAATAATTTATTATCTTTAATCATTGTGACAACCACTGAGCCACGAACTATGATATAACTTACTCTTTGCTGTCAAATTCATTAATAAAATAGGTAGCGAACTTTCGAGTGGTTGTCGGTTGACTGTTTTTAAATTTACTTATAGAGCTCGTATTAATTTAAGGTTTTTAGAAAATAATCAATAGTGGAGGTGTAAAAATGGATATGGAGGTGGAAATAATTAATGCAGATGAAGAAGAAATTTCATATTTTGAATCTATTACAGGTGAGACTTTTTAAATGAAAATGTCAAGGTTGTTGAAATAAATTATACGTTCAATTATTAATTATTCAATACTATAAATTACAATTTGTGAATTTGGATGATTAATTAAAGACAACAAATGTCTTGTTTTCCAATATAGATTACCTATGGATATTTTTAGGGTTAGTTCAAAATAATGGATGGTACTTTCTAGCTTTTATAATACTGTTGGCATATTTAGTCCCCAAATTATGGCCTCATTATTTAAAATGGTCAGAACAAAGAGCACTAGCTGCATATGATGCAGACATTAAAAAAAGTATGAAAACTATTATTGAAAGAAATGAATAAAAATGTGATAACCATGTACAATTTATAGATCCAGATTTATTTAAACAAAAACAAGAGGAGTTACAAAAAGCTAGAGCCAAATTCCAAGAAGAATATGAGAAAAAAGCCAAAATAGCACTCGAAAAACAAAAAGAAGTACAATTAATTAATTTTAAATGTTAGTTCTAATATAAATTAATATGTAATTTTATGCTAGAAAGAGAAAAAAATATTAGAAGAAAAACGAGCATTATTAAATAATGGAACGGGTGGACAGTCTATTAACAGTTCTGAAAAGCCAAAGAAATCTAAACCAGGTAACATTTATTTTTAAATTTAAGTTTTGTGCATTAATTAAAAGCTATTTTCAATGGTAAAAAGAAAAAATTTTTTAAAAACTTATCTCGTATCAGTTATATTTGATAATTCTAATTTTTTTGTTTACTTAACTAAATTTACCCAAGTTTTAATGTATTACCTTGAAGTATATGTCCAGTGGTCGCCGCTTATTGGACTCGCGGTTAATTGATTCATTCTCTTATTAGACTCAAAACGGCTGGTCTCGTTTTGCACATATACTAACACACAGAAAAAATTTGTCTATTCAACTCACACACTGTTTAACAGGGTCGGGTCATTTGAACATTAGATAAATAAATAAAAAATGTACATACACTGAACAAAAGGGTTATAAATGCGAAATAAGTCGGTACTGGTATTTTGAGCTTCAAATTTTACGTGGAGGGAGTCTGACGATTTTGATATATTCGAGCAACATAAATCTTACGAAGATATGATTATGAAGTTGGCCGAAGAAGGGAAAATCCAATCAACCCTAGATGGATTTTTATTGAAAAATGAATTAGATTTTACATACATTATTATATGACATATTATTTTATTTTTATTTTTTACATGCATACCTTGAATCTCAATAAATATTTTTTAATTAAATAAGTTTTTAAATTTAAGGATTTTTAAAATTTTTTTGAACCAATCGCCTTATTGACTAATTCAATTAATGGACTCAAATGGTCAGGTCCCAAAGTGAGTCCAATAAACAGCGACCACTGTATTTTGTAGATTATTAGAACTACTAGTAGGTCAGATACTATGCTTATTTAATAATAATTTTAATTTATTTATTTATTTATTTTTTTATTTTTATTTTTTTTAATTGATCCTGAGCCCGGCAACTGTGGCCATTAGCTATTAGTAGGTACTGTAGGTTTTTGTATTGATGGTTTGTAGGTTTTTTTTGGAACGGTAGGGGGAACACGTGTGTGTTTGTTTTGGCAGAATTTCGAATGGGGCACCCGTAGGTTTCTGCCATGCCCCGGGGGTGGGGGATGGCAGCACTTGCTCTCCGGTCACCGCGACTTGTCCGGAGAAAAATGCCGCCCGGTGGCCAAGGATCGAACCGCGACCGGCTGCGTCGCAGCGGAAGAGACAGACCACTCGGTCACCTCGTCCCCCCATTTTAATTTAATTTTCATAGTAATGACAAATACATTAAAACCGATATATTAACTGTACGTGTAAATTACTAAGTTGATATGCCAAATTTGGCATTGATTCAATATCCATAACTATATTAATTTCAAACATTTTCTTTTGTTTAGATTACAATCCTTTAATGGGATCTGGCAGTGGTTCAAATTATAGACCTCCAAGAAGAAGTGCATGTTCAGGAGGTGGGTGTGGATAAAAGCAAAAATATTGAAAAATAAATATTCTACTCAAACAATTAATATCTGTGTAAAATGTATATCTTATAATATTACTAATAAATAGTTAATTTCTTCAGCTCATATTATGCTAATTGTAATCATAAACATACAATACATTGCATCTGCACTAGAGTAAATATTAAAAAACTTATAATACTAATATTATTATAATTTTATAGGCATCACTCCCATTAAAACAATTATCTGGGAATATAATAATAATATTTATGTAACCAAGAATTATAACACATTTAGTTAACAAACTTAAATTAAATATTATATTTTACTATTGATTTTAGAATAAGATATGATAATGCAATAAAAATAAAGTATTGATAAAATGTTTTAATAAATGTAAAATATGTAGTTGAAATTCATTATTGTTATGAAATATGAACCCACTGTCCACTACTGACGTATTAGTAATACTAATTTGATCAAGCATGAGGAATTGTGTATTGGACCACATTGAGACAATTATGGAATTTGTTGAATTCGGTGCCTTGTCCGTCCAGCATATTATTGATAGGTCATCAGTCTTACAACTTACTTAAGAGATTATCTTATGTCTTATATCTGATGCACTTAATATTGTTTTTCAAAACTAGCTATGTGATACTTGTTTTCTTCTATGTACGTTTGAGTTTTTAAACGAGAATAAGGATTTCAAATCTTTTGATTTTAAGGAAATATCAATTTTTCTACAATTACATTTTTTTTATGAAAGTATATTATAACAAATAATAAAATATGATAATTTTATCCATAGGACGATGAAATTTTTTTGAATAAGTTCACACAATGTCAATAACTAGTAGCAACATATATTTAAAATCACCAAAATTTTCTATAGAAACATTAGAATTGATATACCATAGTATTTTATCAAATTGAATTAAAATATTTTTTTGATTAAAAATTATAAAAAAATTAAATGCATTTTAAAGTAAATTATTAATTTTTTGGGGGTTTTTATGAGGCATTGAATTCCGTTTTAACCATCAAGCCTGGATTAAGGTGTAAAACAGTATAATGCTGTAGATGAGATGGATTTATGATACTTGAATTTTTTATTACAAAAAACTATCTTTAAAATTTATTTGATAAAGTACATCAGTGAGTTAGTGATATAACCATGTATTTGTACTATGTTTGATTTAAATTGTTCAAAACAATTGGACCAGAGTGGTAAGACAAACAATTTTAAATTTATTACATATATATTTAAAATAAACTCCATGTAATTTAATTTTTATTATTTACTTTTCGTTCATATATTATATCTAATATACTTTATAGTTCATCCAAGTTGAGTAATAAAGGGTTTTTGTATATTGAATGGAAGTAAATAAAAATAAAAAATTGTTAACCTAAGTTTGTGCAATAAACTGATAAACAAATTAAATATTAATATAATATTTTCAGAAAGGGCTAATAAAATAGTTAAGACATTATTCGAGTCTTAAGGACTACAAAGGTCTTAATCCTGGCTTGCTTACTATGGGTATGTAATAATTAATAAAGTATATGTATTTGTTAAATTATTGTGCGTGTCTGTTATTTAAGTGTTGTGAATAAATAATTATGACAAACAGTTTCTAGTTAAATAAATATAAATATTACCATTTAGTAACTTGAGCATTTTTATTTTTTATAAATCTTTCAATTTAATTATATAATATTCTTATATAGTTATATAACATCAAATAAATTAAGATATTTAGAATTTGTACTTACATCATTAATTATTTCCTTAAATATTTTAAAATTGTTACACAAGTAGTTATTCTGAAAAAAAAAAAATGATATTATAAATGTTTGACTTTTTCAAAAAACAAAAAAAAATACTAACATAGCTAAACTGAGGCCAATAATTTGTTTGTTTGTTTTTTTTCTTTGATAAATTGAATAATTCTCCACCTTGTAGTCTGCCTTTAGTTTATAAATGATACGACTATGCCTATTAAAAAAAATTAAAAAATATATATTAAATAGGTAATAATAATTAAAACAAATCAATTGAAAACATACATGAAAGGGAAGGCAACCAATGCAGTATAGTTTGAAAGTAATTTTATATCAAAACTACAGATTTCATTGAGATCTTGTTTAAGCTGAAACCAAAAATATAATCACATCACAATGAAATTAAACAATACAAATATAACATATCATTATTAATGCAACTTAATTATATTATTTACTTTTTTAAGATCCAAAGCCTTATACAGAATTCCTTTATTCTGAATAATTAAATAATTAGTTTGATTATGATGATCAGCTGCCTCTAAATCCTTTATTAAATCATATTTATTGAGTTGGTATAAAATGTATAATTTTTAATGTATCATACACCTGACTTACCAAAATATTTGATATTGACCGACAGGTGAACAATTTGTTTTTAGAAAATTCTATTGACTTTAAAAGTTCTGTTAAGGTATATCTCATACCCGTTTTTTCACTATAAATTGTCATTAAAAGTTAACTATTTTAAATGTATAGTTATATTTTAAAAAAACATAGTTAAATTGAATAATGATTATTCACAAAAACAACTAGTTTATATTTGTTTCAAACACCATTAAAATAGGTATTGGGATAACATATAACACTCTGAAATATCCATTGTATAGGACAAAATCTTCAAGTAAAAAAAATTTTAAATGAGTTTTTTAAGAGAACATTATTAAAATTGATATCATTTTTATTAATTGCAGTGGCAAATATTATACGTTGGTTTCTTATCTCTTTTAAACAGTTTTTTTCTATACAATTAGTAGTACATTTTCTCTAATATAATCATATTTAAAAGAAAATTGTTCTTAATATCAATATATTATTATGGTTTTCAAAATATGATTATATCTATTTAAATATTATATAAAACGGACAGATTTCTCTACAATTTAGACTTGAAAGTAATGCTAACTAACAATATAATTATTAATTTATGAAACCTTGTACATATTATTATTATTTTATAGTTATATCATAATTATTTTTATAAATTTGATTTAAAAAAGGGCAATGTATCTAAAAAACAATGTATTTTTTTTATTAATATTCTCTTTTTATATAGACTTTTAATATATTTTTTAAACTTGGATATTTTGTCCTAGATTCATTGGAATCATATTGGTACTATTTCTAAAATGTTATAACTAAAAACCAAGATAAAATTTATAAAAATTTAAGCTAATTTGTGTGATTAATTGCTGACTTTAAATTTAAAGAAGTTAGTATAATACAACAGTATATAGAAATATAGATATATACAGGGTAATTCACAAAGCTTGCCAATCCTCTTTTTATTGCTTCAATATGCACTTATTTAAAATCTTAAACTTGGTATTTTTAAATATATCTTTGGACCACATTTTTGAGATTTTTTGAACTACTTAAGAAGTGTCTTACAGAGTTACAAACTCTTGTTTTTCCAATTAGAACACCCCTTTTCAATCGCCAGTTATACAGTTTTGACATATCGAAATAAATAATTCTACTAGTATTTAATGAGTTATTATAGTTGTGTGATCTAAGGATGAAATGTCCATGGAGATGGATTTATCAGAAATTAGGGCTATGGTGATTTGAAAATTTTAGTCATTAATATTAGTTATCAACATTAATAGTATTTAAAATAGCTCAAGTATAATAATACTAGTTCCAATGTAACGTTCATTTAATATTATTGTAAATCCATTTTTAAGAACTATTATTCTTAGCATGGCTAAATAACTAGGTATGGTCGCATTGAGACGCATTTTAGTTATGGGCTGCACACGTACTAATATGCAATATATTAAATATCTATATTGCATGATTTAACATAGAAAGGAATCTCAACTAGCAGTGATTTTTAGATTTATATAGCCATGAAATTAATAATTTTGTATTGTTTTGTTAACTAATAAATCAAAGTGATAATATGCACTGCCAGTGGCGGGCACGACACCTGCGTATCATAAAGTTGTGATCATACCTAGTTATTTAGCCATGATCCTTAGTACAAATATTTTGATAATGAAGAAACTACCAATTTTGAATTAGATACATTAAAATTTAAAACAAAAATTTGTTGAAAAGCAGAAGTTTGTACCGTCATAGGACACTACTTAAGTAGTACAAAGTTTGAATATATTTATAGTATATTTCAAAATTTCAAAAACCATTATTTATATAAATTTATTTTTAAAGGATTAAAATGGTAGTGAGCATGCTTGGTGAATCACCCTGTATATTGTTACAAAGTAATTTATTAATTATAATACATTAAGAGCAGCTAATATAATTTTTAAATATTTTATTTTTATATACTGAATTAAACTTACGATTTACTAGAAAAGCTTTTAATAATATGAATCATTCTAACAAAACAATAACCTGTGTAGTAGGCATCCCACCCAGCATGATGTAATTTCATATCTTGAGCTAGAATATAAAAAATAAATTTTTATCATTAAAACGCAATGAAATTATATGTAAAAAATATTGATTAAATATAAATAATTGTATGATATTTAAATATTAAAAACACTTTCAGTTTAAATTATTACACAAATATTATTTCAAAAATAAAAACAGGCAGAGTTAAAATTTATTATTTTTACTTTTATATGAAATAAATATTACTGGTTCTTGTATATTAATAGGCTTTTACTAAAAACAAGACAAAACAATACTTTTTATTTTAAGTTTCTTAAAAAAAAAAAGAAAAACCATTTTTGATCCTTAACTAAATTTAAATATAATAAAATGTTATATTCTTACGTTCTTCAATACCGATCAACTGAATACATGTATTATCTGAATATTTTTCGCCGTCTCCATCTTTTAAATATGAATATATTTCTGAGAGAGAACTTCCTACCCATTTATCTAATGAAACAATAATTCCAATTTAATTTATAAAAATCATGAGTCAAATAAAATGAACCTTACAAACCATTTTTAGATACTATACGTTTAACTTCCTTGCATAATAATTTAGTATCATAAATTGATCCAAAATTTTTAGATACAAAATTTTGGAAATCTTTGAAGTTCTCTGAAAAATTAAATGTATACATTATGCAGGTATAAAATATATATTTGATTTAATTTATAATGCTTCATAAACTTAAAAATATTTTGCAATAGTTTTATTTATTGTAATTGGAAAACTTGATTTGGTACAATTAACAATTTTATATGAAACAAATCAAAGAAGACATAGGAAGAACCACTTACCAAGAACTGAAGCTAAGACGGATAGGGATAAGTGGAGATTCATCAGTTTATAGACCAATCTAAGGATTGAAAAAAAACTAACTACCTCAAAATTAAAATGTGGAAATATTTAAATTAATTTAGTATTTTAGCTTAATAAATATGTATAATTATTTATATGTATTTACCAGGTAAGGGTGTGAAAAATTGGTTAGATAAAATCAAAATATCTAAAGCACAGTTATGTCCAATTATCGGTTTTTTCAACTTTGATATAAGTTTCATTAAATATTTGATACCCATCATTTTATTTAATAAACTTAATTTTAGATTTTCATAAATTTTTTTGTTCAATGCTTCTGAATTGGAATTGCCTTCTATTTTCGTAATATTTAATCCTAGTTGACTCTTAAAAATATGAATAAAAAAATTTTACAAATTATTATAGGTAAGTTATTTTCTTTATAACATTACTTCATCTATGAGTATATATTTTAACTTTTTCAGCAGATAATATTGCATTAGGATTATGTACGCAGGGTCATTGCATCCATTTATTTCCAAAAATGTCTGCTCTCCATAGTTGGCAGTATCATACCATTGAGAAACAATTTTTAAAATTTTCATTAATTCTTCTTCAATAGAACGAAATTTTATATACGTTTCAAAATATTTGTCAAAAAATAATTCATCCAACATTTCTGACTTTATTTTTAATTCTTCTTTGTCAGTTAAATATGGTACCCTGTTATGAAACAACTACACAAAATGTAATTAAATGATTACACAATATTAATTCAAATAAATAGATATAAAATAAGATTTACCTTATTAAAATCAAAATTATATTTGCATAAGAATTCAACACATGATGTTTGAAAATTGACCACACTATCAGATTTATAAAAAGTCTGAGGGTATGTATAAAATGTGTAAGTGCTTGTTTTAAATGTTTTATTTTCAGCATCATAATTATAAATCGCAATACCCAATTGAATACAGGTAATATCAGATACTATTTGGTGCAATTTATTGTATCGTTCTTCAGTTGTATCAAATAAACTAGAAATACATTTATGATGTTAATAAATTATAATAATTAATTACAAAAAATTATCATAAAGTATCTATGAATCACAGGATTTTTCAAAAGATGGTTTAAAACATAGATTTATGTAGGTAATGTACAAATATGGATATTCATATTCTACTCCCAAATTTAGAAATGGAAATAATTGGCTTTCTAAACTTAATATTTTTTATCATCAAGTAGAACACTGAACAAATTACAGGTTTAAAAAGACAAAAACATTTTATTCTTTATGAAGGCACATATCACTTTCCAGTAATAGATCATTAGAAAAAGCTGTCAACCATAATTGAATTTGTTTTAAGAAATTATTTCGGTTATAACTGAGCTTACTTAGCTCGAATAGTTTGTATTGAGTTTCAAAGTTCATATTATAAATAACAATATCCCGCACTGAAGTGCAAACTACGTGTCTACTTATCCAAATAACCTATGTATTCTGTGAGGCTATAAGGTTTAATAAAACTTGAGTTTAAGTAGGTAGGCATCTATATTTTTGGATAATTTTGTTAGTAAATATAATTCAAATATCTTATGTCAAACCATATAATATTTTATTACACAGATATTATTTGACCATGTTATACCCGATGATTTTTATTTTGGATTTCTGTAAAAAACTTACCTAAATGGCTTTGATGCATTGTCGTTTAATTTGGAGAACTCCATATCTAAGCTTATAAAAGCACATTCTCTGATTGCGTCTTCAATGACCGGTAATTCGGAATAAAAATTTTCACAAGTGATCTCGCACATAATTTTAATGAAAAATACAATTTTATAAATAATAATAAATATTGCTTCTAATTTCTAATCTGTGACGAAGCATCAAGCATGAAAACCTTGATATTTGAATGTATAACTGTTTTAACTATAAACCTATAAACTAAAACTATAGATTTATGGGAAAAACCTATATTAAACAATTATTAAATAATTTTATAGTATGTCTATGAGTATAATGGTGATAAGAGACCGCGACTGGACAAGTAAAACAGAATTGTCATATTTTACCGCGCAACGAGATTGTGGTAACTGTTATCATAGTTCCTTATACCGCGTTAGCAGTTAATACAAATGTTGTCTATTGACAAAAAATATTTTGAGGTTGGTCGATTGATAACATAGTCTTGAAGTCTTTTCTCTCTAATTAATTGTGGTATTTACTACCCAGGTTCATCCGGTTGTATTTTAGAATTTTCATCCACTAACATCCAAGTAAGTATTTATTTAATTTACAAGTTTACTTTTTATTTAATTGTATCATACATTTCTTTACGCCATTCCGGTTCGATAAATTTGATTTTTGACGGAAATCGAAACTTATACTTTTTGTATTGTGTACTTCATTAATTGTCTTATTAGACATTTGTACACAAGTAAGTAATTAATACTTTTTTTAACAGAATGTTGATGCCAAAAAAGAATCGTAGGGCTATCTACGAATACTTGTTCAAAGAAGGTGTTATGGTTGCTGAAAAAGATTTCCATAAACCAGTACATCCCGATATTGAAGGCATTCCAAATTTGCAAGTTATCAAAGCTATGCAGGTAGCTAAGCCACTTATCCTGTGTTAATTCTGTATGTATTAATGTTGTTTTAAAATGTATTTAGAGTCTCAAATCTAGAGATTATGTAAAAGAACAATTTGCGTGGCGTCACTATTATTGGTACTTGACGAACGAGGGAATTCAATACCTTAGGGATTATCTTCATTTGCCAACTGAGGTAAATACACAGTCTTATAAATTTACTTTAATGTTTTGTTATTAAATATACTAACAATCTAAAATATTTGGGTTGGTACTATCAATTCATAACTTACATTAATTACTGTTGATAATTATGGTTTGTAATCGCATACACTAAAAAGGCAGTAATATGCATGCAACTATACTCTTTGAAAATGTTCAAATATGCAATGAAAACTCTTATATGTGTAAAAAAAAATATCTTAATCAATTAATTGTTGATTTTGAAGCAAATCATTATCTTATCCTAATTTTTTTGATGTCAAACTGGTCGAATAACATTTTCCTGTTTAAGTGTTAGTTTTCATTAGACTCAAATCATTATTTTTAATTATTTATCCCTCTACTCATCAAATTAATTGTTATATGTATAGTATTTCTAAATTCTCAATCATTTTTCTCATCAAATGTGGCTCTTCAGTGAATTGAAAAAATAAATCTGCACTTTACATAAAAAAAAATGCATGAAATGTTTTTGTGTAGAAATATGTAATAATAAAAAAACGTAGTTTATTAAATTCTGTTGCTCTGGAGCATTTTTATATGTTTTCAATCATTTAATATGTCATGGTGAGATGATATTCAAATGTATGAATCTACAGCCCTGATAATATTAAATACCCTTTGTTATTTGTTTTTATATTTTGTATAGAAAAAATATTAATATGATTTTATAAATGTTTGTCTTTAGATTGTTCCAGCTACACTGAAGAGACAAGCTAGACAAGATCCAAGAGGACCCAGAACCACACCAGGAGGAAGGCCTGAAGGCGGTCGGTCAGGTGAAGACAGAGCAACATATAGGCGGGCTCCTGGTGCACCTGGAACAGACAAGAAAGCTGAAGTGGGTGCTGGTACTGCTGAATTGGACTTTGTAAGTATAATAATGATACATGAATAACTTGGATTTTATTAATGCGACTTAACATATTATTAATCCTACATTTTTTATTAATTCAGAGAGGACCTGGTGCATTTGGTGGATTTGGCCGTGGCAGAGCTCCACCCCAATAAATGTAATTAATTATATTAATTATAAATAAAAAAAATTTAAAATAAAAAAAAGTATAAAATTTACAAATTTGTATGTTTTTTCCGGTATATCACTTATTTATAGTAATTTTAAATTTAATATACTCATCTGTTGGTTTTTTTAATTCATCTTATATAAAATAATTATTTTTATTAACTGGCTTCTGCCTCTTTTACACACAAATAATATGAATGGCTAATGACCAACTCGGGTATATATGTTACATATGTATGCTCTAAAAAGTTCAAATATGAAGTTGTTTCTATAAAAATGTTATTTATGTAGGAATAAACTTGAAAAAGCATTCAATTATTTCATGTTTTCGAGTTGAAACTTAAAGGCCCGGAAAATTTTTGTTAATAGAAAATAATCTTTTAAGAGCTACATTTACCAATGTAATTGGTGTGTACTTGATAAATATAAGTTAGATCTTGGTGAAGTCAAACATGTTGGAGATGGATCCACTAGGGCAGTGTTTCTTAAACTGTTTCGTGGAACCCTGAGACACATGTGCTTTTTTCAAAATTTTAATACATTACAATTTTTATTTGCAAATTATCTTGACTTAAAATGGTGCATTGAAATTATTGAAACAAAGTAGTGGTTCTAATTGTCAAGTTGTAGTAACTAAATAATGGTCAACTAAAAAAAAGTTGGGATCCACGATAAGATTGTTCCGCATTTAAAAAAATTGGAGAAACGCACTAAGTATAAATGATATTTGTTTTAGTAAAAAAACTGGTAAGTTTTGATAAAACGTCATCCAATCTTTTGCAAAATATTTTCTCTGTATCTCCTTGAACAAATTTTAATTTTTTTGAACTTAGATCACGATACCTACTAAAAGTATCTTTAGTCTGCGCCTCTGTGGTCTTAATTATCGCTATTTTCTACGTATTCTTATTTCTTAGTCCAAACGTCACAATCGCTTACTATGGCCACGGTCAGCTCTTGGTAAAAAAAAATCTTTTATTATTAAAAAAATGATAAATAAGACAGGGGTGACCATAACTAATTTAAAATTAATACTCTGTATAGGTTAACTCAAAACACAAGACGTTCGCGGAGACTATTTTTAAATTATTTAAATTACAGTTTTCAATTACCTATTGAAAATTAATTTGTTGATTATTAAACATAATATGCTTAAAACCTAAAAATATGCAAAATCATAAATTTGGTAAAATATGCTACATACCTAAATGATTATAATTCAATTGTATGTATACTACTTGAATATGCAGCCTCCTAAGACATGCAAATGAATGAAGTAGCGAGCACTGGTAATATGGTAATCATTTTACTCAATTCAAAATAAGAGTACACTGCTTTCATGCGAGTTAAATGAGGTCCTCAGGACCCAAATTGAAATGCCTCCAGGTGAAAGCAAGCCTCTCTGTGATTGGCTATTTATTGTGTGAAGAGCATGTGTGTATTGAATCAGTTTTCTTCCACTGTCTGATAAACTTTTATTTTGAATAAAGTTTAAAACAATTTATTAGGTACTTGAATACCTATAGCACTGAAGTGTGCTAAACAAATATTACAATTATTTTTTTAATTAAGTATTTGTTCAATTATTGTCTATAAATACATTAGCATGGTAAGGAGTTATTATTTGTTGTTGATGGGTATCATTCTTTCACAGGTATTGAGAGAAATTAATCAATATACAATTATATGCATTAGTAATTAGTATCATAATTGTGAGCCTTTGGATTTAATATCTTAAATGTTATTGTTAAAAAGGCAACCATTATTTAAAAATTGGGTCCAATTTTTATTATTTAAAATACTAAAAAAATATACTAATAATGATTGTCCATTGTCCTACGATAATTTTTGTATATTTATAAATTAATCACTTATTCCTCAACAATAGTTTAAGACATGAATATTATCTTACACATTATCGAATTAAAAGGTTAAAATTACTACTGTTTTTATAATTGTAGGTAGGTATACCATAATAATAAATTGAAATATCTTATTTTATTAAATTTTGTGTAAGGAGGTGTGCTCTATAATTATGATCTTGGACTAGTGCCCTGTCCTTAAAGTTAGAAAACAAACAAGTTAAACCATTTTTAGTCAAGTGACTAATATCTTAGGAGTTCTTGTTTATACTGTATTTTTTAACTTTGAATTACATAATTGGAGGCTGAATTTAAAAATATGTGGGAACTTGCTCTGCTGTATTATGGGTGTCGAGTTTACCTTGTCACTGTGATAAATGTATCAAATTTTATCAGCCTATATTTCTTAAGATATTTTATTATTATTATTATTTCATGTGAGTACCTACATAACATTACTAGCTGTGAAAATGTTGTTAACCTAATGTAAATATTAGGTTTTTCAAACAATGGCGTCGGTTCATTTCAATTAGAATTAATTATTAAATGTACGGGAGAGATATAGTCGGCATAGCAAAGGTGCTCAAAATATTTGGCAACGTTATTTATGTACGAATTTACAATATGCTAAGAGGTACATTATAGTATAGAACTATAGAACATCACTTTTGCTATGACTTTGTAATTTTTAAATTGTGTGTAAGAAGGTGTGCTCTAACCTAACCTACTGACTATGAAGTCTCTATTACCTATATCAACTTATTTATGTATCAGCGTAAAGGTTTTAATGGTTTTATACACCATATAAAATTGCTACTGCTTTGTTTTATAATAATTACAACAATCGCTATAGACTAGAATTTAGAAACATTTTTTCGTCCGTCCTCTTAATACTTTAAAAATGGAATATTGAATACAGTTAAAAAATATATTTAAATTTGTAGTTTATTTAATAAAATATAGCATAATATAAGATTATCATCTCTTGACTCTTTTAATAAACCTAATCCTAATGTCTCAATAAGGACGTACCTAATTCGTACATTAATTTATATATCATGTACATTTTATGCGTTATTGATATGACTATTTCTTATGTGTTTGGTATCTAGTACCTAGTACCTATATACAATCACAGAACAATAATACAATGGGAGTCTGTTTCCCGGTATCTCATAATATGATGATATATTGTTATCTTCAATATTAAAATAATACTGATTAGACGACGTTGTAGGTATAGACAACCAAACGTGCAGTACTTGAGTAGTTCTGCTCAGATCAGGCAAAAAGGCTTGTACAAATTATTTATATTTTAAGACCATATTGTAGTGTAGGTATTATTACAAAATTTTAATTTTTTTTCGGATATTATTTATTAATTCATTATTTTTCTTAAGGAAACGACGTCGTACCCACCATTTATTGTCTCCGTCTTACACACGTATAACATTTAAAGGAAAGATTATTATCTGAGGGCCCTACTTAATTTTTAATTATTATTATTATTTTTAAGTAAGTTATGAATATTGTAAAATTTACAGTTTCAAGAAAGTCATAACTTGTAGTTCTAGGGGTGCAAAGCCCCCTTCCCCCTCTATTTGTGCTGATGTAGAGAGCAAAGATGTAATGTTTGAAATCAATTTTCAGTTTTAAATATACCTGTTCCTTGAGAACAAAACCTCTCGTAACCTACATTTACAAAAAAAATGTATTTTTATAGTTTCTAATTTTTTATGTGCCTGTTATGTACATTGTATATTACTTATAATCTATATACTATATTAATATTATATAATATATATTTATGTGTTGATGAATTCGTCTATATTTATAATGCCACAGTCTACAGAGTCGATCACAAATAAACCAGCCAGATTTTTTCAGAATAAAAGTAGCCAAACCTGGAAGTGTATTGACGTTAAAATATAAACTCGGCCCTGGATTACCTTTATTGTTGGGTCAGGCAATTGCAGGTAATAAAAAGGTCGATGGTACATAATTCTGACCGATAATGTATAAATATAAATATATATATATATTAATGTATTCAATTAAGTACATATATAAAGTTTCGAAACACGACCCAATTTCATCTGCATTCAACAAATAATGTATCTTACGGTGTATAAAGTCCAAAGTTGAGAGGAATGAGGGAGGTGCTTATATAGTGTAGAAAACAAAATATAAATGAATAAGTGTTTGGAACGCGTTTCCATTAAAAATGTACATTTTCTATTTTCCACCAATACCCGTTTTCACTGAATTGACAGTTTCCAGATTTCCACCGAAACAATATCTATAATAAAATATAAAAATTGTTACACTGTTAGTTTATTTAAAATACTGTACAATATTGAAAAATAGTTGGTGTAGGTATAGTATACATTTTAGATTTTACATTTTAGAGGCGCTGGATGTTTTGGTTTTACAATGTGCGTGTTTTAAATTATTTTTTAAATATTTTTGTAGATTCTGAAAAGATGTATTGATGTGATTTTTTTTTTTTTGAAGACACGTAATAGAAAAATTGTTTCGATTTTCATCTTCAGCATCTTTTCGGGTAGGTAAATGAACCTAGTTGCTACTTTGAAGGGTCAACAGTAAATTTTTCAGAATATTTTTATTCATTGGGAAAGACCAAAAAAAAAAAAAAATGCAAAGAAATGTTTAAGGAAAACAAGTTTTTCTTATTTTGTAGAGATTCAAAATTGAATAACAGTAGATATTTGAAAATGCCACCAAATATTTGTATTATCATTTTCTATAAGTAGGTTGTAGGTAAATGGTATAATTAAAAAAAATATTAGATTCTTTCAGAGCTATTTATTGACTTTTGACATTATTAATTTTATTTCTTTAAATGGTTCCTAATAAGTTTTTTTGACTTGTATAAAAAAAAAGTTGAATAAAAATCCATTATATTTTTTTTATGCGAGGATTTTAAGTAAGAATTTTGACGTGTTTCGTATTTCGGCCATAATCGGGAAATTTTTAAAATTATTTTCATGAATTTCTTAAATTGTTAATATTCACGCTTAAAAATTGAAAATGAAATATAAGATTCCACTTAAGTTTTATTATTCGAATTAATAAAAAAAAAAGTTGAGTTTAACTCAACAAATATTTTTTATGAGTGTCTGCAGTTCTAAGAAATAGGATATTCAAATTAACGATTTTCTTATTTT